TAACTCATCAGTTTTAGACTCGAGACTCCGACGACGGCCAGACGATAAACGCAGCGCCGGAAGGACTTCAGCTATTCGTCAAAGCATCGAATAGACTGGAAATCGAAGGAGCCAAGAGTCGAAGCTAACTACAGGTCCTTTACACCGATCGAAGACTGGACCAATCACATCCAAAGTATTTCAGCCTCTTTTATAAAAGAAACAAGTCTGGAACGCTTTGGAGGGGGTATCTGTAGGCATCAAAAATTGCCTATAGGTCTTTGTGAGCAGCTCAAAGCTAAGAGGAGGTGAGGAACATCACTATCCAAGTCATAGAATCTTGATTGACGTCTATGAACGCTTGAAGTGAATCGACGAACTACGTGAAGTAACGAAATTTCAGAATAACGAAGACACGAACTGATCGGGAGTCCCGCGTCGCTTACAAAAGATGAAACGATGCTCCTATCTCAGCTTAATCTATAATGATATAATCATCAGAGCTTATAGAACTCCTCGTCGGCTTTCCAACGCACTTTGAATCACTCAAATCCGAGTTCGGACGAAGAAATTACGGCGGAAACGGACAAGTGCACGGAAAAGAACGTCTCAGCCTGAGTTGAGACACCCCGAGGTGTCTCGGCACAAGCGAGACACCCCAGGGTGTCTCAGCCAAAGCCGAGACACCCAAGGGTGTCTCGGCCTCGCTGAGACACCCAGGGGTGTCTCCAGGCCTAAAAACGGTCTTTTGTGCAGTTTCAACCACCCGAACGCTCCCCGAGCCTATAAATACAGCCTCAGGCCCTCATTTTTCGAGATCTGGAATTCTCGAGTGTTGGCGAAGCCCTGCCGGATTGAAGATCAAAAGGTGCATGAATTTCAGAGAGGAGGAGGAGAGATCGGATCGAGTTCATCGGCATAAAGAAGAGGAGCTCGTCAGATCTGCAGTTCTCGTGTTCGTCCCTTAAGATTACCCCATTGTGGTGATCTTAAGAAGAGCAATTATCTCGCTGTTGCCGAGATAAGCGCTACGGCTTCTTGATTCCTTCGCGAATCGACGAAGCTCTGCCCAATTTTTCAGCAATCAGATCTGATCAACGGTGGTCCACGGATATCAACGTCCCCGTCACAGGCCAAGTTCCCACGCAAGCAGAAGACCGATAAACAATCTCTGCGTTTGTTTGATAAAATTGTAAACTTTTTTTTATTTTCATTGTGTAAGGAGATCTTATAAAAAGATCAACCTTTTATTTTATTCGAGTTTATCGTAACGACTAAAGTTATAATAGATTCGATAGCAATGAAAACAGCAACTTTCGACGCAAACAAATAGTGAGCAGAGTCGATTGCTACAACTTGCTATATTGTGAACCGATCTCCACATTCTACACTGGATAGTGATACACCCTATAGGGTGTGGTCAGGGGAGCATGCAGATTATGAGAGGCTTCGTATTTTTAGGTGTACCGTCTACTATCATGTTAACGAGGGAAAGCTTGACGCGAGGGCCAAGAAGACAAATTTTTTGGGGTGTTCAAAGGGTGTAAAAGACTATCGCCTTTGGTGTACAGAAGATTCAAAATTCGTGATCAACAAGGATGTTACATTTGATGAAAAATCCATGATTGCTAGGACGCCCAAGGATGATGGTGTTAGGACCGTTGAGACTTCAAAGTCCCAGGTTATTGAGATAGAACCTAAAGACCAACCAGGTTCTAGTCATGTTCAAGTGGAAAATCAGGTAGATGATGAGCTTGAGCAGGAGGGGGTTCAGTATAAGAATACACAAGCACTACAAAAATAGCAGCTCGAGGATAGTTTGACTTCCACTAGGCCAAAGCGAGCATACAAGCAGGTACTGAAGCTGGGGGCTGATCAACCCCTGAAGCACTATGGGTAGGTTAATTTGGTGGAATACGCACTCTCGATGGAGGATGATGAGCCGGTCTCCTTTAAGGAAGCTATTCGGGATAGAGATAATGAGAGTTGGTTGGCTGCGATGGAAGAGGAGATGGAATCTCTTCGAAAGAACCAAATATGGGAGGTGGTACCATTGCCCAAAAGAAGAAAAACTATTGGTTGTAAGTGGGTGTATAAAAGAAAGGAGGATCCTTCAGAGCTCGGTAGTACAAGGTACAATGCGAGGCTAGTGGCTAAGAGGTTTGCACAAAGAGAGGGTATGAATTACAATGAGATTTTTTCTCCAGTGGTGAAACACACTTCTATTCGGGTGCTATTGAGTATTATTGCTCATGGTGATTTAAGCTGGAACAACTTGATATTAAAACGACCTTTTTGCATGGAAACTTGGATGAAGAGATCTATATGCATCAACCTGAGGGCTACAAGGTTGAGGACAAGGAGAATCATATGTGTCGCTTGAGGAAGTCACTCTATGGACTGAAGCAATCTCCTCAACAGTGGTACAAGCGATTTGACTCATTCATGTTGAAGCATGGATTTCTCGAAGTGATTATGATTATTGTGTTTACATTCGAATGCTTCGTGGAGGTGATTATATCCATCTTCTTTTGTATGTGGATGACATGCTTATTGCTTTGAAGAGCAGGATGGAGATAGATAGACTAAAATCTCAACTTGGTAGAGAGTTCGAGATGAAGGACATGAGCGCTGCTAACAAAATACTGGATATGAAGATTAGAAGAGAGCGGACGAATCGACGATTGTTCTTGAGTCAAAAGGGCTACATTGAGCGGGTGATCGCGAGGTTCGGGATGCAAAATACAAAGTCGGTGGTGACTCTATTGGCTCCACATTTATTGGTTTTCAGGTAAACAAACTCCCAGTACAGCAGAAGATAAGGTACACATGGAGCGTGTTCCTTTTGCTAGTGCAATTGGCAGTTTAATATGCCATGGTGTGTACACGCCCAGATATTTCACAGGCAGTCAGTATGGTCAGCAGATTCATGACGAATCCGGGAAAGGCACAGTGGGAAGCAGTGAAGTGGGTCCTGAAGTACTTAAAGGGTACCGTTGACACGGGTCTGTGTTTTGATGGAGATACATGTCAGATTGATGGGTTTGTTGACTCTGATTATGCGGGCGATCTAGATCTATTACTGGTTATGTGTTCAAGATACATGGAGCTCCAGTTAGTTGGCAATCGATGTTGCAGGCTACAGTGGTACTTTCTACTACAGAGACTGAGTACATAGCCATGACGGAGGGAGTGAAGGAAGCATTGTGGTTGTGGGGTCTTCTAGATGATTTGGGGATTGAGCAGGAGAACGTGAACTTGTGGTGCGATAGTCAGAGTACGATTCACTTGGCGAAGAATCAAGTTCATCATGCTCGTACAAAGCATATCGATGTCAGGTATCATTTCGTGCGGGATGTCATAGAGGAAGGTGATATTTCTCTCATGAAGGTGCACACGAATGAGAATCCAGCAGACATGTTGACCAAGGTGGTGATAGGCAGTAAGTTTAAGTATTGCTTGGACTTGTTTCATTTCAGCCCGTGCTGATCTGCCCAAGAGGGCATGGCCCTTCAGGACGGTGATGGGGTGAGGTGAAGACTATATGGAGAAAAAAATCCTGAACTACGGTTAGCTTGATCCTGGTGGAGGGTACGTAGGCAGCTACGGTAAAGCGACGCAGCTGGTTTGGCCTGGTTTGTGTTCGCGGTGTTCTTCTGGTGTTCGTCCAAAATTTAAGCTTTATCAAATGATGGACGAGGTGGAGAATTGTGAACGTGTGGAGCGTGGGGGCCACACACCCATTCACGCGGGCCACACACCCATTCACGCGAAAATCAAAACAACAGAGGCCCACCCATTCACGCGAATATCAACCCATATCTGATTTTTCATTTGTTGCTTCTATATAAACGCGTTGCTTCCTAGGTTTTTGTGCAGAGGGAGAAAAACGCAGACGACAGAGGGTATTTGGCGGCTGTTTTTGAGAAAAAAATAGAGAGATCTTGAGGAGAAGAAAAAGAGAGATTTTACAAGAGAGAAGTCAATTTCTTTTGGATAAAAATCAGATCTTCTTCTTTGAGACGAGCTTGTGGATTGTACAAGTCGTCAGTGTTCTTCTTATAGTGGAATCTCCCCTCACCCCTCCCGTGGACGTAGACAAGTTTGCCGAACCACGTAAATATCGTGTCTTTATTGTTTTTTGGATTTTGGCTTTTGCTTGTAGGTTCTCTCGACAAGTCAGTCCTAGAACTGATGAGAGGAAGAGTGCATATTTTACTTTGTTGAGATATTTCACTTTCTATTCTTGTTTCCTTTGTGAAATAGTAATATAGAGGTTGGCTTGAGTTTTTTGTGAAAACAAAAGTCAGGACTTTCTCTCAAGTTATATCGTTTCCGCGGCGTGAGGGCGTGACTCCCACTAAAAAAAAAGAGACAAACTATCATAACTTAACCCAAATGTCCTAACATTGAAGTTCAATATTACCATGCATAGTCGATGCTAAAAGTGGAGTAGAGCAACAGTCAACAAGATTAAGATCCAGGTACATATATCTTAAGAGTATGGAAGGAAAATGTGATTATGAATGTGTATATTATATTGATTGCTTCCACTTTATACAAAGTAATTAATTAGATTATAGCTATAGGCATGTTAAGCCCGTTAGTTTCACCTTAGTTCTCTCCAATATTATTTTCGAAACCTCTAGACTCTTGACATGTACTTAATAAAAAAGTGGCAATGTTCTCTGGTATTTGTGAATTATATTTTTCATGATCTAAAGGAAAATTGAAAGGAATGATCGCGAGACTAAATCATACGTTAGACTTATTTTTCATTTGGCTATAATAACAAACCTTTTTCATCCTAAACGTTCATATCGACAAACAGGCCTCGATCAATACCTTGTTACCCACGTGGACTTCTTTGGGCCTCCATTTGAATTCTAACAAAGATAATTTTTGAGTCGGAATATTTCCAGCCCAAGAAGCTGGCCCAAATCAATCAAGCCCAAGTCTTTTTATTTTATTTTCTGGTCAAGTCTTTTTAATAAAATCTTCATAAAAGGAATCAAATAGAGAGCAAAGTAGAGAAATAAGAGGGGGAAAAATCATTGGAAAATGGTAGCTCGCCAATTCATTGTTCATCACAAGGACTCCGAATTCCCCATCGATTACGATACCGACGATGGATTCGAGGTATCAAATTTGTCAAATCTCTATTTTTTTCTTAATTGTTAACTTAAAATTATTTAAATCATTCCATTTATTCATCAGGTGCTCAAATTCCAAATATTTTCGCTCACTTCGATCGATCCTGAGGAGCAAAAGGTCAATTCTTCTCTTTGAATTCCTGTTTTATTTTAAATTGCCAATGGATTAGCCTCAAAATTTTGTTGTTGCAATTTCCTTTTGAAGATCTTAGTTGAGGATCAGAATTTGATCATGACTGAATCCTCTGATCTCGAATCCATCTCCTCTAAGCTCCGTTTGGTTTCAATCAATGAGGAGCAAGCAGAGGAGAAAAAAGAGAAGTCTTTGAACCAATTTGTGAAGTCCGATGAAGAATTGGCTAGGATCTTGCAGGTATTTTGTTGGTTGTTGTCACTGAACTACTGAGAAGATTGCATTTTTTAACTTATAAATGTTGCATGTTTTTAGGCTGAAGAGGATGCACTTTTCTTTCAACAATACAGAGCAAGTGAAAATAGTGGGGAATTTGAAGGGAGAGTGCGGCCTTATGTTAAGCAAGTATTCTTGGTAATTCTTCGACATTTACTGAAGTTTCTATATAATTATATGTTTCAATTTCTAAATTTTGATTAATGTTTAATTTTATGTTTTACTTTTGGTGTCATTTTTGAGGGGATGTAGTATGAGGACCCAGTTCGCCAGGAGGCTGCACGAAAGTCTGTTCCTGTTGATGAAGTTGAGGAGAAGGCACTGGTTTCTTTGGCCAAGGTGCACATTTTATGTTTTAGTTGCCGAGTTGCAATTTGTTATATCCATTTTTAACTTAGTCCTAGCTAAAGAGTGTAAGACTATTAATGTGTGCACTAGTAAGACACTAGAAGTAACTTTATTTGAAGATAGATATGGATCCCAGGCTAAAGAACATGGCTTGAGGCCACATGACGGTATATGGTAGCTGATAATTTAATTGAGAAGCTGAGCATTTATATAGCTCAATTGAGGAAGTATTTATGTTTCAAACAAATCTCCTGATTCAGACTCTCTTTTCTACCATACTGGTCATATTTCTTTAATTAGGTACCTTATCGAGTTTGCTTTTGCATGGTAGACAACTTAATATAAAACTGTGTTAGTTTGCACCGTGCTCTTATATTATCTTTGACTTAATCTCTTGTGAGATTGGCTCATCTGTTTCAACAGGAGGGAAAGTTCAAACCTTCAAAAGAAGAGAAAGATCATGCCTTCTTGCTGCATTTGCTTTCCTGGTTCAAGCAATCATTTAGGTGATCTAAATCATTTTACTTCATCAAGAACCTAGAACCTTAAAAAGTTTTAACTTTTTTGTTCTGTGTATTATGTGATTTTGACTTTTAATTTTTGCCTTTAAAATTGCTGTCTAGTATCTGCATGACCGAGTTCTTGTTTACAGTATTGTATTTCTTTGCTTTTTTCACCTTCACACTGAATTACAACTCTCACTTAGACCCAAACAACTGTCTGCTCCAAATACGCAACATTGGTCATTGAGTGAATAATGATTGCCTTGTGCTGTTGTATTTTTTCTCTCAAACCCACTTCTTATTACAGATCAAATTGGAAGAAGCGCCTTTAGCTAGACAAATTCGTAGTTCTGTAATTCATTGCAGAATATCACAAGTTTTCAAGAGCTAGGAGAACTAAACTCTAAAGATATCATATTTTTAGAGGAAATTAGACTTTTAAGGTCTAATATGTTGATCCTTCTTCCTTAATTAAATTATTAAACCATACTAACCACTGATACTAATTTCAACTTTTTAAAATCTTAAACTGGTTGTTATTACAGGTGGGTAAATTCACCTCCTTGCGAAAATTGCGGTAGTGGAACTAGCAATATTGGCATGGGCACCCCACTTCCTTCTGAAATCAGTTACGGTGGTTCTCGTGTTGAGCTTTATAGGTAGGTTAGAAATTTTTACTATCATATTCTGATGTTTCCAGTAAATTTATTTTTATCTGCACCATTATGTAGGGTTGCATCAATTTCATTTACACAAAAGAGACATGTACCTTAGATATTAAGATATTCTCCTTTGTTTAGTTTATTTAGTTGGGGTGATTGGCGAAATAGGGAACTGAGGAAGGGAGATGATAAATTTCAAAGTACATGCTTGAATATGTATTCGTAGTTCTTACTAAAATTCAAAGATTCCTGGTAATTCTTCCTTTGCTAAAAGGAAATTGATGTAAACAAGAAGGGTTGAAGAGTCATCATGAGCAAGTAGCTTGGTGGATCTGAAGTTGAATTACGCTCCTGACAGGAGGAGATATAATTTAGTGATAAACTTGGAGAATGTAAGAAGATTTTGATTCTTGATAAAATTTTCATTTATGCGTAGGAAGTTTTTTTTTCGCTAGAAGTTTAATCTGTGCAAGAGACAGATTTGTGGACATGGATTTTGGATTTCGCGAGTGAGAAAGTCAATCAAATAGAGAAACAAAAAGTAGAAAAACTCTGGTGAAGAGATAAATTAGAGAGAGGCCAAGCTGAGGGGGCAAAAATTAAATTCAATCAGGAAAAAAAAAGGAAATGTCAAGATGATTGTTGGTTGACAAAGTTGGAAATGGGAAGAAGAGGGTGGTAAAGTATAACTGTATAAGTACTAGCAATAATGCTGACGTTACAAAATATTTTTTTTGTTTAGAATTATTAATTGGACAAGTGGCTCTTTTATTGTTAGAGACTAATATCCAAATATAACAATATGGGACTACTATCCACACAAGATATTATGAGACTGATATCCAAATAAGACATGACCTCAAAAGAAAATTATAAAAAGTGCATGACTTTTTATATTTTTTTGCATATTTTGGCCCCTTCTTATTTGTATCCGATTGAGAACTAAAACAATAACTTTTGCTGGCATCTGAAGTGCAAATCTCATGTAAAAGTCACAAAAAGAAGAATGACATGTATGTGTCATTTGGGACCTATGTATTGAAACATACAACTCATGGTCTGAGCACCTCAAGGTATTTTACCTAAAAAATGCCTAATACTTTTGTCTTTCCAGATTCTGCATTATACATTGTTGTGAAGAGCACCACATAAAGAAAAAGGCATGTAGACTGTCCAGTAAGTATATAATTATGATAATGATTATATGTTGACTGTTCCATTTTTAGAAATTAAAGATTTAAACTCACAAACATCATCAAAACTTCAAGACTCATTCCCTTCTGCTCATAGAACAGCATCCTTTCTTGTCATTGTTTGACTCATGGAGATATATATTTTCTTTCATGGAATACATGCCCTTCTTGAACCTGGCTGTGAAGCTGAAGCTGGCAAGTTTAATGTGGTCTGAAGTTAGCAAGTTTTATGTGGTCACTGAACAATAATGAATTTAAGTGCATCTGAAGATATGTTCTTGCTTATACCTTGGCTTGGTAAAACAATGGAGAATGGAGGTTTTTCATATGTAACCCTCTGGAGATTCGTTCATTGCTATTCTTGGATTCTCCAAAAGGAGGCCCTTTTTCACCTCTCTAAAGCGACATCTTCTTGCTGCTGTTCTATATATAGAGGAATAGAAGAACGTTTCTCATGATTGATAAACTTCCTATTCTATATATAGAGGAAGTGATTGCTTGATATATAGGAGGAGGGCATCATCAGCCTGAGTTGTTGGAGAAAAGATGGTTGCTTGTGGCTATTATTATCTTTTAGTGGTGCTGTTGGTGATTCAATAAAGATGAGATCCGTTGGTTTAAGTCCTTCAGGATAAACTGAATCCCTTTGCTAGAGGAGATAAAGCTGAGCAGTTCTTTCATCGGCTGATGAGAGTTTGACTAATCTTTTGAGTAAACTCATTTGTTGGCTGGCATTCATTACATTTCACAGAGTTGGGTCTTTCTTTGTGCTTAGGGATCAGTTCCCTGTTGAGTCTTACATATTACATTTCACAGAGTTGGGTCTTTCTTTGTGCTTAGAGATCAGTTCCCTGTTGAGTCTTACATACTGTATTTATGTTGATGCTTCAGTTTACTGAGTGGTTCTTACCTGTATGAAACTGAACTACATCTCAATGCACCGTTTAAAAAATTTCAGGTGCAACTGTTGTTCATCTATCACTCGTTTTCCACGTTATAATGATCCTCTAAAGGTACTTCTTTATCTGACATGTGTCTTGCATGTGTTATCTGTTTATGTTTTATGTTTTATGTTTTTCTTTCTCATGTCACGATTTCACAATTTGATTTCTTACAGTAATTTGGTTACATATTTTGTTTGGCCAGCTTCTGGAAACAAGGAAAGGGCGTTGTGGAGAGTGGGCTAATTGCTTTACACTCTACTGTCGAGCTTTTGGTTATGAATCTCGCCTGGTTAGCACATCACTAATTTATGACAAATTACTTCTTATGTTGTTAAAGTTAGCTCTATATGTTGATTCTCAAGGATGAGATCTTGAAGTTCTATGATAAAAATGGAAGAATTCTGTACTTATATATTCAAAATTTTCAGATATTGGACTTCACTGATCATGTTTGGACAGAGAGCTTTTCACATTGCTTGGGAAGGTATGTGTAATTTCCTGAGCTGCTTCTTGTTTTGTACTTCTACAAATTGAGGGACTTGAAAGTTTTTGGCAGAAGATTATGTTTGGTGATGCTAACTTGTGAGTTGTCTACAGATGGATGCATCTAGATCCATGCGAGGGAGTATATGACAATCCACTTTTATATGAGAAGGGGTACTTTCTCTTTCTAATTGTTGACTTCTTCCTTCAGAATTATGTCTGATGCTCATCCCATTGTCCGAACTTATATACATAACTTTCTGTTAACATTTATCCTTTCAAAAATTTTATTTACATCACGTATTTCATTTCTTTTACATTCCCTTTTTCTGAAGGTGGAATAAGAAGTTGAATTATGTAATTGCTATTGCGCAAGATGGAGTTTACGATGTCACAAAACGTTACACAAGGAAGTGGCATGAAGTAAGTATTCCTTCTTTCCCCCAGAATCTGTCTTCCCACCTTCCTTTGCTGATGTGAATTGCAATTTTTTCTTTGATGAGTTGATTTCTCTCACAGGTTCTTTCTAGACGTAATATCACGACGGAAACCAATGTTTCTGCTGTCCTTTCTTTCATAACAAAGGAATGTCGTGCTAGATATTCATCTAGAGAACTTTCTATTCTTGAGCATCGCGACCAGAAGGAAATCGAGGAGCTTGAGGGGGAGCTTTATCATAAAATCGATAATTCTGTATCCCTACCTGGAAGGCAAAGTGGGGCCATTGAGTGGCGACTTGCAAGATCTGAAATGGGGTCTAATGGGAGTACCTCTCTAGGAATTTCTTCTTGTCCAATCCGACTCTGTGTAGATTCACATGTTAAAAATATTTACACTGCTTTGTATCTTCTCTTACTTCAATTTCTTGATAATGGTTATGAGAAAAATGAAATTGTTAAGATTCTGGCAACTCTTAAAAAGCTGTTGGTGGATCTTAGAGCTTCCCCATTTAAAGAGAGGAGATCTTTCATAAATTTCACCCTCTCACAATCCTCTGACACATTGATGACGTGCATCGAAGGGTTTCTTGCTTCCATTTCTTTAAAGGGGGAATTGGAGAATGATGGAAGGATGTGTGTATGTCTAGCTGGTGATCCAGTTCAAACTTCTTTAGCTTTACCTGTGGCTATGGACGCTGTTGATGAAATAGCTAATAATCTTACAAGTGATGCTTACTTTGAGAAAGATGCTATAGAATTTCCAAGAGCCAACAGATTATCTTCTGGCTCTGTTCTTGCCAGTGGCGAAGAACTCCCTGTTGAAATTGTAAGTAGTATCAAACTATCTTCATGCTTAGGATTTTGTTTATAGTTGAATAGTTTCCAATGACTTATGAGTTGTTTGTATGTATGCTTTGCAGGCAACATCAGCATTTGATGGTATGCGTTTGTCTAAGTGGGGAGAACCAAATGGAGCTAAAGGTACACAGTTGGAGGAAATTATTGTTACACTAATTTTTATATAGCTTAATTTCATCATAGCAACCTTTTGATATGTTTATAAGATCTTGTTTACGTATTCCTATGTGACTCCTAGTTACAGCCCAATATCCTACCCTTTTAGCCGTGCTTGTCCAAACCTTCCTATTGGTACCATGACTCAAGTGCAATTGTTATGGTAAAATTTTGTCTTTTCTTTCTAGCATAGTGTAATGTATAATACTTTTTTTTAATGTTTATGATGCATACATATTTCACCATAACGTTGATGCTGATATTTTGGCTGCTGTTAATTGTCTTCTTTCTTTTTCCTTACTGTTCTGCGAAAATTCTTCAGTTACACGAATCCCAGGATCTATTCACATTGTAGGGGTGCAGCACTTGCACCCATAGACATTTATGAACGCCCCAAAAAATAAATAAATAAAAAAAATAAAAATTGCACACCAAAGCCCAAAAAACTAAATAAATTAGTAACAATTTGAATTAATTCATTAGAAATTGAATAAATTCATTAGAAAGTAAAATCTCATTTAAATTTCTAGCAAAAAGTTTTATTGAGTGCATTCCCATTACATATTATAGTTTTATAATGTTATTTTTTTTTATCTCCAGGTAAATAGACAATTGTTATCCCCCCGCCCCGCATGGAAATTTTTTTAGATTCGCCACTGCCAACAAATTACACGTAACCTATTGGTCTTATTAATCTTTTAAAGTAGCATATTCTATATTCTCTGCATGATTTTTTAGACGTTATCAAGGCCTAATATATGCAGCTACGGTGGAAAAGTTATTGTGATAATATTAAAAAAAATCATAGAACACCATGTCTGCAGGACAAAGCCGAGGTTCATGCTGTCTTGCTCGTCTTTGCCACATTATGATGTTGCATCCTTTCTCCAACCTTCCGGGACTTAAGTTGCCTATAATTGATCAATTTTACTGTATCTTATTTATTTTTTTACTACAGGATGTTGGTTATTATACAAAGTATTAAATGATCAGATGCATGAACTGGAGGCATACCAGCTGATGTCAGCCAATGATGCTCCAGAAAGAGATCCAGTGGATTGGTATGTTATTTGATTCTTGTATATGACTTCTGTATGTTTTTCACATTCAGAATTTCAGTTATACGTGGCCTGAGAAATTTGCTTGGATTTAGGGTTTAACATCAGTTCTTATGCAAAGCCTTATGCAAATAGCCCTTGATAACTATTCTTGGTAAACTGCTGTTTTAGAATGTCCCGCTACGTGCACTTCTACGACTTTACAGACTTAGTGATATAAAGACTTGTTTCTGTCTTGGGAACACCAAGAGGTTACATATCTGTTCATTGAATGATTAATAACTACTTTTATGGATGTGACAAACAATCTACAATGGCTTTCAATACATCATATCGATATCTATAACAAATTTACAGATAGGATATCTCCTATATTTTCCTTCTTAAAATAGTAGTTTCCAGTACTTTAACCGGCTCTTCAGTATCTACACTTTTGTAAATAAGGTAAACAATTTATTAAGTTTAGGGTAATGCAAGCCAGACCAGCGGCTTGGTAACAAAAATAAGTAGCCTACCAGTTACTAAGATTTTTATGATCTTTCAAGAGGATAATTTATTGAATAAATAGCAAATATTTGTTTTTATATCTTCATTTTCTAGTCTTTGGAGTCCTGGGATACAACACCGTATAATGTAAGTACTGGGAAACAAGCATTCAGGTTCGATGGCTGTGTCAAATGGAGCTAGATCTTTATGGTATTCCTCCAACTTGCACACAGAACTGGAATAAGAATTGCGCCATTTTTTATTCTCCAACAATAAGCATTTCATACCTCCAACTTACTACCCACATAAGATCTGGCAATGCCATGTGGTTTAACCTAATTGTGTTCACCATTATTTGGTGAGTGTTTACTTGGACCTTCTTCATGTAGTGCTGTAGTGGTCCCAACAGTCTAATAAATTGTTAGTGCTTTAAGGCGCCAATAACCTTTATCCATCGAAGTTCAAAGTTCCTTGCTTCCTTGGTGAGTTGAATAAAAGAAGCAACGATCTGGCGCCTCTTTGAACTGTGAGGCGGCAACTTATATTCTTGGAAGTGTATAAATATGAGAAGTTGAGGGCAATGGACAGCAAAGTATCATAATAACTTATGCTTATGAAGATGTGTTATTCCGAGGTTTGAAGTATCTGCTTGTACTATATCAAATCTTAAGCATATGCCAATCTGGTCCGGTCGAAACCAACTAATAAATATTATTTTAATAATGACAAACAGAAGGAGGAGATCCAGATCCGAAGAACCAGGAATTGTTTTAATAGTGTTATTGTGGAGAGAAAAATCACTAAGTTTATAGCTATGATTAAACGTACTCATTCTATATACCAATAATTCCAGTATGGAACTGTCAAAATGTAGAGGAACCAATACTGTGATTTTGACCTCGTTTTTCATCTAGGCTTGATGGAATCTCCTGGTTGGTGAGGGCGGGTAAGTCTTCAATACATCTTCAATCATTGAACTATGCTTGTAACCCTCCTAGTATCCCCTTCATGATATCCATTCTAGCTCTTTTCCACTTTAAAATCCATTTTTCAGATATTAGTTGGCATAAGTTGTTATAGGAAACGTCTGAGCTTGTTTTCGGTCACCCTCTTCTTCTGATGTTCAGGTGTTCTCTATAATGTATGTTTAATTTCGTGCAACCGAATAGGAAAATAATTGTTCGTAATATTCCTAAATACAATTGGGAAGTAGCTTGTAGTTTTCCCTTAGTTGAAGGTTTTCCGAATGCCTTGGGAAGGTTCAAATTATTACACTTCAAGTTGATTGGCCCAAATTATCCAGGGAGGTCTACTATGTGAAGCTTCCCATTACTAAACACATCTATGATGAGACTCTATGGTCTTAGTTGCTTCAGGATGACATTACTTATGAGACCGCGACAAGAAACAACTAACTAGACTTAGAAAAAGGAAGAGAAAATTAGAATCTTAAGGAGTAGGATTAGTGCGAGGAAATGGGAAACTGATTATCGGAAGGAAATAACGATTCGTATTCATGGCCATTGGCCAGGTTAGCTTCAATCAGGGACGGAAAAACATATCAGATGGTTCAGACATCAAACTTCAAAAAGGACTGATGGTAAACGAATGCGGCACTAAGTCAAAGGAGCAGCAAACTGCCATCAAGGACAGATGTTACACCTGTATATTTGACTGAGAAGACCCTTAACAGAGCCTACCAGAAGAAAAGAAATGACTGGAATCTCTGGAGGCATCATAAATTGTGATGTTCTCTTTCCATCCTTTCCTTGTTCCTTGTGTATTAGTTAACCTTCACTGTGCTATTGAGGACCGGACTAAGCATTTGGTGTATTTGTAACGCAACTTCCTTGGTAAAAATATTGTTATGCAACTGTTTGTAGATAGAAACCATTTGATCAATAAATTCTCCTCTAATAACATTATACTGTGCTCAATAGGATTGTCGAGGGAAGTGATGATGGAGGCATCAACTGGTATCTGTTAGATAAACAGAGCTCTCAGTTATTTGAGAAGCGGTTCCAACGCAAAACTTTCAAAGTAGATACAAGTAGAAAGTCTAATGCATTCAGGCAAGCATATAATATCATGGAATGCAATTAGTTTTTATTATTTTTGTTCCATATGTTCTTTTAAATTAATACATTTTCCCCGCTGCAGGTTCCATTTCCTCTCAGTCAGAGATCCTAAAATGCAGTCCAGGTTTCAGATAGGCAGCATTGACCTTTATACAAAAGAGGGCTAATTCTTTTGGCCTTGTACATGAAAACGGAGCTTGTTCATATAATTCAGCCAGTAAGGGAGCTAAGACCTTATGAAAATTGTTGT